ACCCAGGGAGCTGCTCCTGGATAAACATCAATTTTAGATCTCATCTATCACTACATCCCTTCGCGAAGAGGGGCAGAAACCAGCTCCGAGCTGATGGGCATTAAGCCACGGTTTGAGTAGGAAAAGTACAGGGTGGACCTGAGGCAGTCAGCATGGTCAGCTTGGTCCCTTCCTGGACACTGGCAGCGTTGTCTACAAAGGAAGGGGTATTGGCCCGATGGTTCTGAAGGGTCTACCCATTCCAGATCCTCCTTTTGTGTAAATTTTTCCTAAAGCCTGATTCTTGATATGCAATGACTTACCTCTGGACTATCGTGGAGAAATTGTATTCTAAATCCCAACACTGAGGTGATGAAAAAGTCCAAATCATTTTTCTTAATCCAAGTTAGGTCTCAAAATACTCAGAACTTGAAAGAATGCAAGGACCCCTTTAACAGATATATCCGAGCTGGCGCTGGAAGCCAAGCATGCCCAACAGACATTCCCTCTGCTCAGCGCTGGGCAGGCCACACCATGCCCTGTTATCCACTGACTGCGTTCTCAGTTTACACCTTGGCCTTGTTTAGGTTCCTAAGTCTCAATGATAATCCCTCTTTTCAAAATGACACAAAAGACACTTGTGTGGCCATGTCCCTTCTTATCTTCTCCATGAAGCCAACCTAGACTAAACTTCCTGGACAGCTCAGATCTTCAAACCTGATGACCAGGCTGCTGTCCCCTCCCCTCCACCACCAGGAGAAGCGATTCTCCAAGGCAGGAGGGGTCAGGCCAGGTCTTAGCCCCACATGGTCCAGAAATGCTCCAGAGGACAAGAGTCCATTAGTGTTCTTTCATTTTTATTCAAATATCTACAAAGTGCTCCTTACGTGACAGCTGTGTCTGTGTGTGAGTGGCGGCCACAGTTAACAACTCAACTACTGATCAGAGGCTGGAAGTCACTCAGACGCCCCTCTGTGCACCAGGTGTGGGAATCTCCTCCTGAAAATCCAAGACTGAAGACCCTCAGGGCACAGACTGACTGATATGAGTGGGGCTGCCAAGGTCAGGGTCGAGCCAACAGCGGCGGGTTTATGTAGCAGAAACTGAACAACTCCTTACCACGAGGCCGCGAGACCTCCCTACTGAGCTGCTGTGGTGGTTGTTAGGTGCCATCCAGTCGCTTGCTGGCTCATGGTGACCCTGTGGACAACAGGTCTGAACCCTGCCCTGTCCTGTCCCAACCTCCAATCCATTTCATCGAGGTTTGCTTCTCTATACAGAACACTTAAGGACGTGATCACCACCACCATCCTAAGAGCTGCTTGGCCTTGGCCCCGTCAGACACTCACCCTCAATGAGCCTTAGAGCCTGAGGACAGTCCTTGGCCTTGACTCCTGGAGATCCTGGTCTGAACGGTGATGACGTGGAAATGCAGGTGCCCGCCCCCACTCAGGGCAAGCCTGCAGACCAGGCACCAGGGCCTGAAGAACTAGCTCATCAAAACCAGCCTGACTTAGAGCCTTCGGAAAATTCAGACACATCAGATTTAGAATAAAATCACGTGAATTCCAAATAGAGCATAGTCACGGTTTTTAAACCGTGTTTATTAGAACACACACTGAAAATGACCCGATTCGCCCTCAGTGACTGTCACCCAGTCTCTTTTCACGTCAGCGTCTCCTCCCTGGTCACATCCATCTGAGAAGGACAGAACGCCTGAGACAGGTCTTTCCACTTGACACACACAGGCCCAGGTGCCCCCAGCACACAGAGAGGGGAGAGGAGGCGGGGGGACACGGGGGGGGGGGGGTCAACTCAGCAAACACAATGGCGCCTCCTTCATATTTCAGGCAGTCTCCTGAAAGAGCTCAGTTCTCCTTTGGTTTGGTTTGGTTACTGTTGGTTGGTTAGGGGGTTGTCTGCTTTCTACTTTTCCCCCTTTGATTTTCTTAATATTTATTATAACATTTTGCATGTTTCAAGTAGAAAATGCTCAGCTCCATCATCAACACTCTTGGCATCAGCAGTCAGAAAATCAAAAGACGAATTGTATTAGGAACATCTACTGCTAGGGACCTCTCCAAAGTATTGAGAAGCAACGATGTTATTCTAAGGACTAAGGTGCACCTGATCCAGGCCACAGTAGAGAGCTGGACAATGACTAAGGATGACAGAAGAAGAATTGATGCCTTTAAGATGTGGTGCTGGAGAAGAGTCTTATCCAAAACAACTATGAGATATCATCTCACCCCAGTAACAGTAGCAAAATTTAACAGAACAGCAAACATCAAATGCTGGCGAGGTTGTGGAGAAACTGGAACCCTTATTCACTGTTGGTGGGAGTGTAAAATGGTGCAACCACTATGGAAGACAAATGGCGCTTTCTCAAAAAGTCAGAAATAAAAATACCATATGATCCAGCAATTCCACTACTGCAAATATATCTTAAAGAAACCATAACTGCCACCCAAGCAGATATATGCACACCCATGTTTACTGCAACTTTGTTCACAACAGCAAAGAGCTGGAAACAACCCAAGTGCCCAACAACAAATGAATAGATAGAGAAGCTCTGGTATATTCACACAATGGAATACTACATAGCATTGAAAAACAAGGATATCATGAAATATTATGCAAAAATGGATGACCCTGGAGGACATTATGTGGAGTGAAATATCTCAGTCACAAAAGGACAAATATTGCATAGGACCACTGCTGTAAAACGGGACTGACATCAGGGTTGAAGGAAGACAGAAAAGGAGGGGAGGAATGATGTATACTGCACTGAAACAGATGAGGGAGAGAACTGTTTAAAAGAGATATATAAATGGGTATTCTTGTCATTATAGAAGTCCAGAGTGAAGGCTGAATAGTGGAGTGGACTTGGGGGGGGAGGGATTGCATAACAATCAAAGAGTTTTTCTTTCTTTTCAAGGAGAAAAGTCAATTGGGGGGAGGGGGTGTGGAGGGAGAAAAGTGCAACAATGAATGACTGGAAACCCCAAGTCTCTGTAAACTTTCATTAACATTAATTATTTTTTTTTTTTTTAAAAGGTATTCCATAAATTCTTGGGGTCTTAATTTCCATCAGAGCAGCTTGAATTTGCTTTTAATTATTATTTTTTTTTTTTTTAAAAAAAAGGAGAGTCTTAAGATGGACCACCAAGAAAATAAATAGGTCTGTCTTGGAGAATGTGAAACCAAGTTCTGTCTCACATACTTTGGGCACGTGGCCAGGATGGACCAGTCCTTGGAGAAGGACATCATTCTTGGAAGGGTGGATGGACAGCACAGGAGAGGAAAACCCTGGAGGAGATGGACTGATAGAGAAGCGGGGCAACGGGGGTAGGTGTGTTGGAATTACTGAGACTGACTCAGGACAGGACAGGCTTCAGAGATGCTGCACATGGGTCACTGTGAAGCACAGGCAGCTCGACGGCACCTGACACCCAGGTGGAAAATGCTCTCCATGCACCATCTCTAATCCTTAGGACACAGAATCAGCAAATTTCTACCCTGGACCTTACAGAACAGTAACTTTTCTATTATCCCAAACAATCCTCTGTATTACGTACAAAACATAAACAGTGGTTAAAGCATGAAGACACAGGGGAGAGTAGCCATGATTAGGGACCTCTGGGGAGGGCGGAAAGGGAATGGGCTGCAGGAGCGAGAAAAGCAGTGGAGTGAGTTTTAAACGGGCTCTAACAGCATCACTGCACCCTCACCCCACCTTCCCCATCCCTCCATCTCCCACACTGCCGCATCTCCCGCATCCCCGTGTCTCCCACATCCCCGCGTCTTCCGCATCCCTATGTCCCCCACTGTGTCCCCCACGTCTCCTGCATCCCATCTCCCACATCGAGTCTCCCGCATCCCCACGACCCCCACGTCTCCTGCATCCTGCATCCCCCACATCTCCCGCATTGTCTCTCACATCCCCACGTCTCCTGCATCCCTGTGTCTCCCAGTCTCCCGCATCCCCGCGTCCCCCACATCCCCGTGTCTCCTCCATCCCCATGTCCCCCATGTCTCCCGCATCAAGTCTCCCGCATCCCCACATCCCCCTCGTCTCCCGCATCCCGCGTCCCCCGCATCCTCCCAGGCGCTGCTCTCATGGCTGTCCCCGCTCCTCTCTTGTTCTTACTTCTCTGCCCTCACTTCTGTGTGAAGCGCAACCACATAGGGACACAATGCTGCCCAGAGGCCCGGACACAGGAAGCCTTCATCCCACCAGTCATTCAGGTCTTCTGGGGAAACCAGCCCCCATTTCCATGATTTCTGAGACACAGTCACCTAACTCACACCCCCTGACTTGCTCCAGGAGAGGCGGACACCACTAGAAGGAAGAACTCAACCTGGTGCAATGTTCCTGGACATTCAGATCCAATGCCCTCCATGGACACTACTCTGATCACGTAAACCTGAGCTTAAAGTAGAAGCTCTAACACACTAGATTGGCCGTGCTGAGATTGACTTCCAGAATGAAAGGGCAGCCCCTGCCCAAGGGCAATGCTCCAAAGGCAAGAAAGGGGAGGAGAGCATATCGAATAAAACCAAGAACGAAGCAGGAGGAGAGTTGTAACGTGGGCCAGCAACCAACACCTCAAGATAAACGCTCACCCGCGCAGTGGAGCATCAGGCAAATCCCAAGAAAAAGTTTAAACAGTAATTAAGAAGAGAAAAAAAATTACTCCATCTGGTCCCCGATTCTAGCCACGGCTATAAGTGAAAAGAGCCCCAGTGTGTCGAGGGCCCAGCCACACTGCCCGGAGCAGCGTTAGTGTCACGCAGACAGGAGGCCCGGGCAGCCCCACACATGTTCTGGTCCCACCTGGATGTGGTCTATTTTCTCACAGAAGAGGAGGAGCCTGATGGGCTGCAGCGTGGGCCAGGTACAGCGACAGCAGAGGGAGAAGTTGGGAGCTGGGGAAGAGGAGGGTGGCACGGAGTTTCGATTTTTCAAACCTTCCAGTCAGCCTTAACCAAATACAAGAGCCTGTTCAAGCTTGACTTACGGCCTGCTGTATGTCCGTCTTCACCTGCTCACTCAGCATGCCCTCAAAGACGAAGGAGTCCCCAAACTTCTCAGCCTAGAAGGGAGAAACCAGGAAAGGTTACAGTGAAGACGACGTGGGGCTCTAACAGTGCACCTGGCCCGTGCCTTGTTCTTGCACACATGGACAACTTGAAGGGTGTTATGGTTTCCCACAGGATTCACAAAAGACTTTAAAACAATTTCCCCAGATCCATGTCGGTCAAGACTGAGCGACCAGTGAGAGCACAGACAGGAAGAGATCAGGCCCCAGGCCCTGGCTCTTCCTGCTGACAGACGAACATCTGAGTATTACAATTTACACATGAGATTTCCTAACCCAGCTCTGCCCTTCACCGGCTCCTGAACCCTGGCTAAGAGTTAGGGTTCTGCTGGGTGAGTCAGCTCAAGGGGCCAAGTGAAGCATCATACAGGGGTCTGTGTTCCAATGGCTTTATGTAATACAAGTGTCTCAGGTGCTCATGTGTCCAGTTCCCTGTGTTACGTGTGATCCCGTCCTAGTCCCTTATTCTCCATGGTCCCAGCACACTCAACGCCACGGCTCAAGGGTGACAGAGGGTCTCAGCGTCAGCTCCAACTCACGGCCACTTTCTATGAGGTTTCTGAGGCTGGACTCTGAGCAGGAGACTATGCACTTTTTCAAGGAGCAGCTGATGGATTCGATCCAGCGAACACACTGGGCCCTTTCACAAGCTCCCACCTTCCTCTTACCTTTGTCTCTGGGAACAGCCCGGCTCTTCCTCCTGACCCTAAAGGCTCCCTGCCTTCCCAGTACATAGCGGCTCTTGGGCTGTGTGCGCTGACAAGTAGCTGACAACTGGGGAACACTAAAGGCTCTGTTCCTGACCCCAACATTCTGACCGGAAGGGGGGGATGCAGCTGCTAAAGCGGGATGTGGCATACAGCACACAGCAGCTGTGACTGGAACAGAAGTGGCTCAAGAAATGCACTGTGAGACACGCTGACCCACCACTGAGCTGCCCGTCAGCCTCACTTTACACCAGCACTGTGGATAACTCTCAATCTGTTCACAACACCGACAGCAGCTTGCTGTCGTTGTTGCTGTGTGACATCCAGCTGATGAAAACTCAGTGACCGCACGGGGCGGGGGAGCGAGAACGCCCCTGGGGTTTGCTAAGCTGTCATCTTGACAGAGCAGGTGACCATTCTCCGTACAGCGCTGGGTGGGGAGCTGAGACCACCAACGATGGATGAGCAGTCAGTGTTCACTGCAGCACGACTAGGGCCCCTGAGCTGCTACCAGGGGCTGGAGAAGGGCCCAGGCTCGGCTCTCCCGCGGACCAGCAAATGAGCACGCACCTCTGAGCAGGTGGGGCAGCGCAACCTTAGAGGCTCCTCAGAGGCGAGATGGGGAGATTCTGTCTCACTTTGTCTTTCTTTACCAAAGACCCCATCTTTGTCTCACACACTTTGGGGATGTTATCAGGAGAGGTCAGTCCCTAGAGAAAGACTTCACACTTGGCACCGTGTCAGCAATAGAAGGAAAACCTATAGCGGTGGGACGGACCCAGCGGCAGAGATGGCACATGTACACGGGGTCGCTGTGAGCTGGGGCCAACTTTACAGCACCTAACAACAACAACAACAACATTGGTGCCTCTATTTCAGGCCCCACAGAACCACAGTGTGTGTCCAACAAAGAGGTCAGCACCACTGCTCCTCCTCCTGCACCCACTGTGGCCACCGGACCACCACCACCTTCACTCCCCGTCACAGGCCACACACACATGCTTGGCTTGGAGCTAACTATGGTGAGGCAGGTGAGAGCCGATTCCCCTATCAGGTGACCAGCGTGGTAGCTGTGGTACACACAAGGTGCTGGATGCAGAATGAAAGAGGCCAAGGGCAGCCAGGTTGGAGGCATTCGTGGCCATGTTCTCGCCCCGACCCTGCCCATCACCTCAGTCAGATAGCCTGTGGCGTTGACGAACTTCTCGAATTCAGCATTGCTGACTTCATGGGCGTCCATGTAGAAGGCGTGGACGGTGACCCTCCGTGCAGGAGCTTCCCCGTCCTGCTGTATCTGGGGGTCATCGGTTCCCATGGTGAACGTGCCAGCCGGGATGAGCACCATCTGAGGAGACAGGGACACAAGGTCAGCAGGCTCCCGCAGGAGACTGGCCACCCCAAGCAAAGTGCCTTCCTTTAGTCACGAGAAGAGGGGGAAACTCTTCATCGGGGTAATTTAGTTCAGACCGTCCAGGGGCTCCAAGCACATGCCAGGCGACACGGCTGAGCAGCAGCTGTGCTGGCTGAAGAGCTGTGTCCCAAGGTTCCCGTACCTGACCTTGAACCTGTCTGTTCCCCCTAATAAAGCCAAAAGTGTGTCTTATCTGGGAGGTCTGTGTGGCCCTAGAAAAGCGGCAGCGTGCTGAGGGCAGGATTCTGGTGTCAACTGTCAGAGTTTTGCCAAGGGGAAGGTGGGGGGTAAGAGGGAGACATCTCACCTCCACTGCTGACGGCGACTCTTCCTCCTCGTGAAGTCAGTGAGGCTCAGATACCCCTCCGCCCAATGCCCATCACCCTGTTTTCACAGCACTAACTACAACACATTTCATAAAGGGTATACAATTAAAAAAAAAAAACAACACAAAACTACAAAATCATCTCCCATTGCAGACCAAGAAATCTTGTTACAGAAACTGTCCTTAATCCCTCAGTCCAGAGAGGTCCCACAGAGGCTGAGCCCATTTTAATAAATGAATTTCCACAAATGATCCCATTTTCTTTTATCCTCCTCTTCCTCATCTGCTGTAGACACCTGGCCTGTTTTCTTCCTCCTCCATCCTGTAGCCACTGCAGAGATGGGCAGTGCTGGGCATACCGGGTTCCATACTAGAGGCTGTGGATAAAGATAGCTGCCTTGCACTAAGTACATAACCATTTCCATTAATGAAGGGAAGTTTTCTGTCCTATAAACAAAAAATGCTGTTCTACTCAAGTCCTGAGTCTCAGGTGTCGTATCTGAACAAGACTCTGCCAATGAAAAGAACTCTTATCCAAATCTTCACTGCAGATTCAAACAACCCTGCTGAGTCTGCAAGGGAGTTACTACCCCCTCTGATTCATCATGGCGTCTACACCGACAGGCAAGACAAAAGCTTAGCAATATCAAGAGTGACACCAAAACCCTGAGACCAGAAGGACTAGACGGTGCCCGGCTACCACTGCCGACAGCTCCGACTAGGATCGCAACAGAGGGTCCTGGACACAGACGACTAGCATTCCTGGACTGAGACCCAGTGATGACCCCTGGATACTGCTCAACCCTGGGACTGATCACAACCCCGTCACAGAGCAAAATGTGCATCACGTCCACCAAGGCACAACCCACAGGTACCTAAGTCCTCAGAGGCTTAGCAATTTGCTCTGTAAACTTTCACCCAAACCACAATGAGAAGTTGTTAAGTGCTCCATCGCTGCTGCTTCTTGCTGTGACTGACTCCTGGCTGACTCTCCAGGGGGGTCTTAGCAGGCTGTAAATTGCACAGGAGGACACTGGCCATCTTTCCCCTGTGGAGCAGCCGGCAGACTCTATCATCACTAGCATCTCCTATTTCACCTACACACCTAGACCTGGTCCAGTGGACATCTGGTCCCACTTAGCACCCATCTCCTTCTACTCACATAACCGTACCTGCCATGCCTTTCAGACCGTCTCCTCCACCTCTCTGCTCACCTGGCTCAGGTGGAGTGGGGAGATGCTATTCTACCTCCAACTAAAGTCAGGTGACTCATATCTGGCCAGTCCTGACATTCCTGTGGCCACAGAGATATGATCAAGGGCAAAGCCATGACCCAATCAACATTAATCTTGGCATTTTTTTTTCAGTAACTTTATCCCAGGGAAGAAAAGCATCAGAGAAGAAGAGAGCACTCTGCCCAGAGGCAGGACATAGACTTTTTCTCTCCATACGCCTTACTCTTAAGGAAAAGTCTTATCCAATACAGAATACACAGAAAACAGAATTAACAAAAATGAGAATCCTCTCCAGCCCCGTTCACCTCTGCCAGGACACTGAGCTTCCTGAATTTAGAAGAGAAAGTCAAGGGTCAGGAGACCATGCACAATCACTCCCGCTTGAGGCAAAGACTGGACAGAGCACTGCCTCAGGGAAGTCATCTGTCTGGACAAGGCCACAGTGGTTCAGTTACTAGGCAAGTCCCAAAGGCCAGAGCTCTCCTCGGCCAGTCATTCCACCAGCAACTCAGGGAGCCTCCAAATTTCACAGAAACGGAATTCAAGACTTAGAGCTGACGGAGTCAACACCTCTGAAGGGCTGAAAAATCATCTACCTTACAAACACAATTCCAAAGATGCCGACCCCACACCCTGTTCCAGAACTAACAGGAAAATAGACCTTTTAAAAGGACAAATGTTCAACAATGGCCACAAAAATTCGAGGGAAAATGTCATAGGTTGAACTCTCTTCACAAAATAGGTGTATGTAAGGGTGGCCTGGAGGTAAGGAGTTGTGCTACCAACCCTAAGGCAGATAGTTTGAATCTACCGCCTGCTGCTTAGGAGAAAGATGGGCAATCTATTCTCACATGAACACAGAACAACGATACAGTATGAAATGACCCCCACGATCTGATAAACCAAAGGCTGTAAAGAATTATGGGTAGAGAACAAACCTCCCCCCCCATCCCAACACTTTCCCCTAAGGAGAGAGCTATCACATCTTATATCCTCACAAGAGATAAAGGAGAGAATGGAGCCGAGAGAGACCTTGGAGACCTACCAAGAGTGAGGTGTGGACTCAGGTCCTTGCACTAGGATGCCCCTTAGCAAGGAGGAAGGCCAAGACACACGGATGATCTCCATGGAAGGCCTTCCCCAAGAGCTAACACAAGGATTTCAACTTCCAGCCTCCTACACTTTAAAACTGTAAACGTCTGTTAAGGCCATCCATGTGCACCAGTGCACACAAATAAATAAGACACTTCCCCTTTAATTGGCATACAGACACAAGACTGTATCGAGGGTAGATTATCAGCTATCTCACAAGTGAAGAGGGCATTAAGATCAGAGATGGCCAATGGACATGAAAATAGTAGCCAGGACTGTCCCCCACACTGCAGACTGACAGTAACACAGCAAGACCTTATGAGAACTAAAATGAAGATTATCAAAGACCAGGAATCACATGTGATGGTGAAACACTGAGAAGCCCAGCCATCATCTCCTATTCACTCTTACGCAAAGACACAAATACAGTTCTGGCCTTGTCCAAGCTCAGAGCATAGTCAGAGGTCAGCAAACAGGTTAATTACTATTCTTACTTAAGAACTCTTTTTTTTATTTTATGTGTGTGTGTGTGTGTGTGTGTGTGTGTGTGTGTGCGCGCGCGCTGTCAAATCGGATCTGACTGGTACAGGAGGAGATTGCCTCTCCTTCTCCAGCAGAGAATCTGGTAGATTCGAACTGTATAACCTCTGGGATTGCAGTGCAGCTTCTTGCCACTAGGCCACCAGAGCTCCCTTAAGAACTCTTTACGTCACTGTCAACACACACTACCATGGCCACATAGAGACATATGGAAATATTGAAGGGGTGTTAATTTGAGGGTATGAGAGATGATTACTTCTTATTTCAGTCTCTAAAAGTGATCAGAATTAACCTTGAGGAAAGAGAGACAAAATGGAGAAAGGAGGAAGGATATTAGGTATATAAGCAAGAGAACTTGCTTGGGAACAGAAGACGAGGGTGGCCAGACCCTGATGGGACCTGCTTCACCCTCAGAGCCTCCGCTGGGCCTGAGCCCACTGCTGCAAACAAAAACTGCAACTTAACGACTGCACCGCCTCGCACACTGAGCCATGGACAGATAAACGGCCATAAAAATGGCACTGAAGCCCACTGTGGTCACCTCCACAAGGACACCTCACATGTGCCAGATCCCCGTTCTTCCTGTCAAGGTGCTCTGCGTGGTCCAGCATCTCCAGCCTTTCCTTAGCAATTTAACCATCTGTACCACTTAACAAACGCCAGTAAGGAACTACTTTCCTGACCCGCTAACGTAGTAGGGATCACACCTGCTCAGTGCCCTCAGGTTGGAAGCGATTCACAGTTGACCCTGCAGCAGGTTTCCAAAGGTCATAAATCGGGCGGGAGGAGGCAGCCCATCCTCCTACAGAGAAGTTCATGGATTCAAACTGCCTACCTGAGTTGGCTTCACAACTGACCACTAAGGCCCCAGAGCAGACCCAGGGGTAAACAATGCGCGCCCTTCCTCTCCGGGAGCGCTCACTAAATAAGACTACAGACAATTGCACAGTGTTGGAAGCTCTGTAATTTCTTATTAATAAAGAGGCACCAGCTTAGCCAGGCCCATGGCTTGATTCAGGCCGCCTGGCTTGAAATCCTGAGACCTTCTAGGAGAGCACGGGGGGATCAGGACTGGGAGGAAAGTGGGGGCGAGGGGCAGATCCCCGAACCACCCCCCTGAAGCGAGGACTGGCCGCTCCCCCGCCCGCCGCCCATGGGCGTGGTGAGTGCGGGGTCCCGAGGAGGTGACGAGGTGAGTGCCCCGCCTCCCCGCCCCCGAGCAGGG